CCTTCCTTCCTTCCTTTCTTTCTTTCTTTCTTTCTTTCTTTCTTTCTTTCTTTCTTTCTTTCTTTCTTTCTTTCTTTCTTTCTTTCTTTCTTTCTTGTTTCTGTGGTTTATTTAAGCCCAAATAAAAGGTGTATGTGAGGCATCTATTCGTTTTCTTCACTGTGCAGCCTGGCTTTGGGATTGGGATTGGTGACTCTGATGGCCAGCTGGGCTGCTCTTTCCACGATGGCTCTTGGGCTCTTGGAGGTAACATTGTGGGCAATCTCAGTGCAGTAAGACTTGTGGCACATGAGCAGCACTTCCAGCTCCTTGACGTTGTGGAGCAGGAACTTCTGGAATCCACTGGGCAGCATGTTCTTTGTTTTCTTGTTACTCCCATTACCAATGTTGGGCATCAAGATCTGGCCCTTGAATCTCTTCCGCACCCTGTTGTCTATGCCCCTGGGTTTCTGCCAGTTATGCTTAATCTTGACTGGTGGTGGATGTGCCGGAGCCTGCCTGCAACAAAAGGGAATCCTGAATTAGGGGCGAGGACGGAAAAATAAAGACATAAGACAAAGGATGGGGTCGGGAGGTCTGCAGCTCAAGACTGCAGCCCGTTTATTTTTAACTTTCCCTACTATATACTATTAGAAGTCAAGAGGTAACATAAGGTTACAATAGTCCAGAAAAACAAGGAAAATTTCAGTAAAAACAGTGCAGTAAAACAAGACAAGGTCAACTGGTAGAAAGTAAAACAAACTCTGCAGATATAGCAAAGCAATCCTGGACACCTGGTGTTTTTTAAGTAAGCCAGCTCCTTGTATGTGCCTTCAAGTGAGCACAGGGGTCAAGATGACCTTAGAGCTTTACTGTCGGCTCCCAACATGGATGAACTTCTTGGTCCCCTTTTTGATGATCTTGGGCTTCACCAGAGGTGAAGTAGCTAAGATTATAGGTTTGAAGACTGTCCCAACCTTCTTTGCTTCTAATTTCTTATTACCTACATTTAAGTTCTTAATTTATTTAGTTCCATCTTTATCATTTAATGAGACTGTTTTTTTCTTTGAGAATTATTAGTTGTCTCATAAAAACAAAACAGAATCAACCAAGCAAGTCCCAAACTAGCCTTATAGAAAATTCCCTTGTTTGGGTGGGGGTTTAGCTTGTCTAAACAAGTACAAGGCCCTGAGTTCTGATCCTCAGCACCACCACCACCAACACACACACACACACACACACACACACACACACACACAAAGTCTCCCATAACATCTAACTTTTCTAGCTTTACCCTTGTTCCATTTTATTTTTTTACTTTAATAAATATGAGTTTTAGATGGAGTTTCCAGTTGCTGATAAACATCTCTATTTTAACAGTGTTTATGTTCACAAAGCAATTGCATTATTTTCTCTCACAGCTTCAAAACAGCAATTTTGATTTCTTTGTTTTGACCCAATCATCTCTGTTTTTCCTTATAATTCTAAAACTTCCCCATCATCATATATCATTGAATGACAAGGTCTAAGTATTCCGTCATGTGTCTATCATTTTCTTTTTCCTATTATTATTAGGCCATACAAAATTTCTGGTTTTTATTAGTGTAACCACCATTTTCTGAGTTTCCTATATAGGCTTACATGCTGTAACAAACAATTATGCAATTTCCCTTCCCAAAGTAGCTGAGTTACAAGGTGGAGAGAGTGGCAACATGTTTTACCCTGAGAAAGAAATCTATTATTTTGTATCTTTTTTCTTCCCTGAACTCTTGTAAATTGTCCACTTATGAAACAGTATTCAAAGAAGTAATTGCTGGTGCAATACAAATCTAGCTACAAAGGTGAACACACCCAGTCATAAATGCCTGAATGTTCCACTGTAAACTCTTTTCTTTTTTCAGAAGCACTTGTTCCTTGTTGCTCACTACTGCTTTATTGCTTTAATTCAAAGTATGCCTTTTTTGTTGCTGTATCTATTTGCCTATACCTATCTACCAATCTATCATGTATCTGCCTATCTATCCTCTCTCTCTCTCTCTTTCTCTCTCTCTCCCTCTCCCTCTCTCTGACACCAGGACTTGAACCCAGGGCTTCAGGCTTTGGTAGGCTTTCTTGCTCATGGCTGGCACTCTACCACTTGAGGCAAGCCTTGAGTCTGTCTTTTTGCTGGCTAATTGGAGATGGAGTCTCTTGGCTTTTTCTGCCCAGACTGGCTTCAAACTATGATTATTGAGAACTCAGCCTTTTGAAATCCCATGTTTCTGTCTGATTCCCCTGTGGCCTTGTCAGATGTTTTCTGTAGCAAGATACAAGCACCCTTGAGAAACTGAGACTTCAGAAGTCTCACTCCTTGGATCTGATGTTCCCTTCTTAGACTGTGACACATGGTTTGCAGTTCTGTAATTTCCCCAAATCTTCAGCCAAAACAGGACCAGAATTTCAGGACCAGGACAGCAGAATCTAATATTAAATTACATCCCTCTATTTCCCAGAATAATTCGTGGGATAATTTTAGGGTCCCAATTCAAGTATAGTGAGCATGGGTCTTCTACATGGGTTTGCACCCATTGGAAGAGTGATCTTTTGAGTTTGTCATACATATACAACATACACAGACCTATATCCCAAGAATAAGCATTAATTGTCAGGAAATACATGTTCTAAAATTATATTGAGAAGAGAAGGAGAGGACCATTTAATTGTCACATTGGATGAGGCTGTCATGTCTTTCTTCCATCTGTAAGTTGTTTAATTTAGTGCTTGGGCTAGCCAGAGCACCAGTAATAGAGCTACTGACTCTTCAGTGGCACTTCTTTGTTTTCCAGAAAACAGACTCAGAAGTGCCCAGTCTGGCAAGGTCTCACTTGAATGCCAATTCAAAGGACCTTTGCTCCTGTTGTCATGGAGAAGGCAAAGGACAAACTTTTTCCTTTAACAGATTCATTTTTTATAATAGTTTGTTCTTGTTATATATATATTTTTGCTCTTT